GTAAGAGAGAGAGGGGGGAGGGAGGGGGAGAGAGGTGTTACTCTGTTCATGCATGCAGAACATACTGTAAAACTCATTCACACATTCAGAAGAGGATTAGTAAAAGCGTATTTTCTTTTGTTTTGTTAGAAAAGAAAGGATTTTTTTTCTTCTGAATTCTCATTTTCTTTTACACATGGTCCTAATCCTCTTCCGTACTTGCATTTATTGATTTAAAAAGTATGAATATGTTGATATTTTACTAAAAGTAGCAACATCACTTTTTTTCAAAAAAGTTTGAATTCTGAGATTTGGAGAAAATCTTTTCTGAAATCTGAGAGATTTCTTTTAACTTTTGGTCAGATCTAAAAAGAAAATGTTTAACATGACCCTAATCCTCTTCCGTACACGCATTACTAAATTCAAAGTATAATTATATAGTGGTTTCTGAGTAAAGGTAACAATAACGTATTTTTTGAAGTGCATTAAGAATCTAATTGACTTGATACCAGGCGGCGGGTGAAGTCAGTCTCTGATTTCTACTATTTATTATCAAGTATAATCTGCTGCAGACATTTGTAAAGCATTGCAGTATTTGTTTCAATGCATGAAGGACACAAGGACACAAGGACACAAGGACACAATACTTTAACAGATTGAATCCTCTGTGATTTCTCTCTTGCCCTGCAGACATGTCCTGACTCACCTGCAGCAGGTAACTCCTCAGTGTTCCCTGAACACATCAGCAGTGAGAACAGGTCTCTATAGGAGCATCCTGCACACTCAAAGACTCAGATCTCATTTAGAGATCAATAAAAGACTTCATTTAAAAAAGGGGTTTCTCTTTAGTAGACACTGAGTGCCCCCTGCTGGAGACAGAGAGGCATTACACCACTCAGACTGTGTGTGTGTGTGTGTGTGTGTGTGTGTGTGTGTGTGTGTGTGTGTGTGTGTGTGTGTGTGTGTGTGTGTGTGTGTGTGTGTGTGTGTGTGTGTGTTCAGCGCCACCCTCTGGACTCTGACTCCCTGTCAGATTCATTAACAGATAACTTTATCTCCACGCACACACCACACACACACACACACACACACACACACACACACACACACACACACACACACACACACACACACACACACACACACACACACTTTATGTCTTGTATATTGCACTGTCGTGGAACCTGGTCGAAGTGTTTCACACATTACATAATGACACCAGTTGAATGAACTCTGACTCTTTACCCTCGTGCCGTCTGAACCTGTTGTATGTTATATCCTCTGAGTCACAAAGGGTTTCTAATCTCGCGTAACAGTCAGAAACCTTAGAGTTTACTTGTATCCTATCATCATTGTTAGCCATTATATCATGCCAGGAAGTTTTGCAGTTTTTGAATTGCGTCTTTTTTATTTTTTATTACTCAATATTTTATGTAATAAAAAAAAGACCCACTTGTTGCTCCCGTATAAACTCGTGCTGCCTTCAGGTACACTGAGTAACTTTGAGAATACTTGAACTTGAATGTTTCCTTCACAGCGGAATACAGTATAAATAGCGCTCCTCCTGTGAGCACCAGCAGTAACTAACGTCTCCTCTGACAGAGAGGTTGTTCAGGATCTCAGCATGTGGTCTCTGTGCAGGAACTTCATTAGACCCGCTCTCTCCACAGGGGGCCTCCAGTCCCTCTGCAGGTCTGTGGTCGCCCCCCTAGTCAGCAGGAGCTACGGGACCCGCTTCAATGTCCCCCCCAGCGCAGAGTTCGTGTCCCGGGTCTCGGGGATCCCCACCATGAACAAGCTGCCCCACCAGGAGAGCGCAGAGGGGCTGGACGCGGCCTTCATCGGGGTCCCCATCGACACCGGGACTTCCAACAGACCCGGGGCCAGGTGACCGTTCAGCCTTTATACAGACTATACACTCCTGTGCTGCGTTCAGGGTCCGCGGAACTGTTACGGTACTGTGCTGCGTTCAGGGTCTGCACTACTGTTAGTGTGAAGCGTTCAGGGTCTTCAAGACTGTTACTTTATTGTTCTGCAAAACAGTTAAACTCACGTGGTGCGTTCAGGGTCTGCACAACTTTGACTTTAATGTTCTGCAAAACTGTTAAACTAATGTGCTGCGTTCAGGGTTTGCACAGCTATACTTTACTGTGCTGCGTTCAGGGTCTGCAGCAGAGGTGCAAGAAGTACTCAGTTAAAAGTAAAAGTCCTGCATCACAAATTAACAAAGTACAAAAGTACTAGCATCAACATAAACTTTAAGTACCAAAAGCAAAAGTTTTGCAGAACGGCACAAATGAGTACCAGATATTTAAATGATTGTAATAACATGATCGATGCAGTAATGTGTTCACCACTTCAATGTTGCAGTTGTTAAAAGTGAAGTTCATTTGAATTATTTTATACACTACTGGCTAGTAATGTATAATAATGCATCAGTATATTTATATCGTGTATTTATGATATCAATGTGCAAAGTTACCAGTAACTACATCTGTAAAATGAATTTAGTGGAGTCAAAGTATAAAGTAATCAAATGAGTAAAAGTACCTCAATATTTTAGTTTAGAGCAGTAGTTTACTTTACACCTCTGGCCTGCCTTTACTGAATATACTATGACGTGCTGCGTTCAGGGTCTGCACCATGTTTACACTAGAGAGCTGAACACGGAGTGAGTGTTGCAGGTGTTAAATAATCTGCATTAAGACTAAATTAAACACGGTTAACGACGGTGATAACTATTTATATAAATAAGTATTACACAGAGTGAATGGTATTTTTCTGCGGGTTCGGGCCCCGGCCTTTACTGAATATATAACGTGCTGCGTTCAGGGTCTGCACCATGTTTACTCTAGATTCAAATTCAAAGGTCTTACGTCATATGCACATAAGAAATAGTGCAAGAAGTCTATATACATGTACATAGAATATGATATGCTCAAGACCAGAATATGAAATTAAATAATGCACATTAACACTAAATCAAACACGGTTTATTGCGGTGAAAACTGTTTGTATAGATAAGTAGTAACAGAGTGAGTGTTATTTGTCTGCAGGTTCGGGCCCCGGCAGATCCGCGTGGAGTCGGCCATGCTGCGCAGCTTCAACAGTGGAACCCGAGCGGCTCCGTACGACTCGCTTATGGTGGCCGACATCGGAGACGTGAACGTGAACCTGTACGACCTGAAGGACACGTGCACGCGCATCAGAGAGTTCTACAGGAAGGTCCTGTCTGCGGGATGCATCCCCCTCACCATGGGTGAGGAGTACTATATTATATCATATTTCTGTGGGTCCCTGAAGGCAGCATCTCCCCCCTCCAATGAGAGTCCTCCATGTGATTTTGGATTATGTCATAAAATAATCTCTGGGTCCAAAACACATTCAGAAACCATTGGTCTGCACAACAGTTACTTCACTATGCTGCGTTCAGGGTCTGCACAACAGTTACTTCACTATGCTGCATTCAGGGTCTGCACAACAGTTACTTCACTATGCTGCGTTCAGGGTCTGCACTACAGTTACTTCACTATGCTGCGTTCAGGGTCTGCACAACAGTTACTTCACTATGCTGCGTTCAGGGTCTGCACTACAGTTACTTCACTATGCTGCGTTCAGGGTCTGCACTACAGTTACTTCACTATGCTGCGTTCAGGGTCTGCACAACAGTTACTTCACTATGCTGCGTTCAGGGTCTGCACTACAGTTACTTCACTATGCTGCGTTCAGGGTCTGCACAACAGTTACTTCACTATGCTGCAAAACAAATGTGCTGCGTTCAGGGTCTGCAACAGAGGTGCAAGAAGTACTCAGTTAAAAGTATGAATATTGTTAGAGCCAGTATTTTGATTTGATAAGAAAGGCCACCCAATTGTGACGTCTGTAGTCAACGCACAATAAAGGAACTACAATTCCCTACGGCGTACTGAGCTAAAGCCACAGTGATGGAAAACCTGTTGAGAGACGCCGTCGAGAAACAGTTTCAAACCATACACGTACACAAATCGTACAAGTACCCTTTAAGTTATGAAGTTA